ATGACGTCACGGAAGGGGGAGGATGACAGGGAGGAAAATGACGTCACAGGGTGCTGACGTCGCGGGAAATTCGCGCGGGAAGAATTGTGGTGGTCGCCGCGGAGTCAATGGCTGCCAGGCGCGGGGACCTCCGAACGCGGTAAGCTAACGCGCGCGGTCCTCCCCCGCCGGGGTGCGTTCCAAAATCAACTTTGGTCAACCTCGTTGGTTGTAGGTTTGGAGGGGGATATAGTAAACTAAGTTAGCAGTTATTTTGGAACGGGGTCTTGGATGGTGTGGGATGATAGGGAGGGATTCGGTTCGTAACTGTCAAATGGAACTTTTCATATGGGAAAGATAACGATCGATTTATGGTGAGTCCCTCCTAAGAGACAATGTTTTTTAACTTTTTAATTTTGACTTTCTTTACTTAAGGTAATAAAATAATTGGTCATAATCTTGCTTGCTAGTCTAATTTTTATAATTTGTTTTGTGGTTTATATTAGTATTCATGGCAGCAAACAAAAGGCAGGTTGTTGCACTAGTAGCTTGTGCTGCAGGTCAATATTTTTTGGAGATTATTAATAGATTAGGAATTGATAGTGATAGTGATAGTGAAAATGATGAATTGATGCAAGAATTCATTAATATTGAGGGAAATCTACGAATACTTGGCATAAAAATAAAAGCAGTACGAGTTGAATGTTTTGTAGAATATACAATACCAAGATTATCTGCAAAACAGTTCAAAGAACATTTCCGAATGAGTACAGCTGTCTTTGATAATTTGGAAAATAAAATAGGAAATTTATTATTGAGACAAAAATCAACTGGTCGCTCAACAATTTCTGTTCGTAAACAGTTGTTAGCCACTCTATGGCTATTAGCTACTCCTGATTCTTATAGGTAAATATTGTTAATTGCTTCAATTTTATTGCATCATTTAAAAATTCTACTATTCTGTATGCGTATAATCTTTTCGTTATTTCAGATCTGTTGGATCTAAATTTGATTTAGGAAAATCTTCACTTTCTCATTGTGTCAAAAGAGTGATTAAAGCGTTAAATTCAATATCAGGAGAAATTATATCTTGGCCAACAGGAGATCGGTTATTGAATACAAAAACTCAATTCCAGAGAATTTCAGGATTATCTAACATTGTTGGCGCCATAGATGGTACACACATTGAAATTCCTGCACCAGAAGTATGTTTCCTAATTTCTAATAATTTTTTACCTAGTCTGTACAATAATTACGAAAACATTTTTTATTTTTAGATTGATGCTGAAATATACAATACTCGCAAATGCAGATATGCTATTGTTTTGCAAATAGTATGTGACGCTGATCTACGATTTATTGACTGCTTTGCAGGATATCCTGGATCTGTAGGAGATTTAAGAGTATTCAGAAATAGTGATTTATGGCATGCTGTCCACAGAAATAGAAACAATTTCTTTCCAGATCAAGAATTTATCATTGGCGACAAAGCATATCCGGTTTTAGGATGGTGTTTGCCTCCATACAGAGACAACGGTCATCTTACAAGGGTATAGAAATGAAATTGAATCTAGATAACATGTATGATTAAAAAATATTATAAAGACGTGCATTATGACATACATGTTGTCTGAGAATAAACATAGAAAAATCTCAAAAATCTTTTAATAAATTTGTTAGTGTTTGTTCATTTATCATAATTTTTCTTTGTTTTTAGATACAGAAGAATTTTAACCAACATCTCAGTAAAAATAGACAATTTATTGAACGAGCTATCTCACTGTTGAAAGGAAGATTTCGTCGTTTAAAATATTTACACATGAATCGAGTTGATCTTATTCCTGAAACTATCTTAGCATGTTGTGTCCTTCATAACATATGTCTTGACGGTATAGATGATGAGATTGAAGATTACATATTAAATAATGAAGTAGTAAATAATGAAATGAATATAGAAGACAATATCGAAGAATTAAATGCAGAAGAAAATATAGAGGGTATTAATAAAAGAAATTATATAGCTCAAACATTACCTATGTTAAATTAAAATGGAATGTTATATATCAATATAAGATAGATTAATAACTGTTTCTTTTATTGTAAAATATTTATAAAAATAAAAGAATTTGTGCATAAATCTATTCTTCCTTTTAATATTGTGTGTATTAAATTTTAATTAAAATATACATGATAAATCAAATTTAGAATTAAAATATTTATTACAGATAAGTTTGTAAAACATAAAATATCACAACAAACAGTATTGTAACAGGCAAACAGTATTGTAACTTCTTTTTATTATTTTTTAAGAGCAACTTAAAAACAAATCTATGTTTTATAAAAGTTTATTTTTAATTATAAATAGCATAACATAAACATGTAATACAATATCAAAATAGTTTTTATAAACTATATTACAATTAAGTGAACTTAATTTTCAAAATCTCTATGAAATTACACATAACAGAATACGTAATACATAATATATAAACAAAACAAATTTAAATTTATAATTAGTAAAGTTGATAAAAGAGTAGTTTATTTTAATAAATGTTGCATAAAGTGTCTCAAACATTAATGAGTAATCATATTAGATATTTTTTAAGAAATGCTTTGGAAAGTAGCTTTATAACTAGTTATCATGTTTTAACAGATAAATTAAAAATAAGATAATACTGATAATAGTATCACAGCAATTAACATTAAGCAAAATATAAAACCAAAATAATATTCTTATTAAAGCTTACTTTTAATCCAAAGGCAAGCAGAAGTATTTTAAAGAAACATTTATGCTCGTTTTCGCTGCTGTAGATTAGAAAAAAGATAAAGCATGTTGAACCAAAATTCAATTTAATCTACATTAGAAAAGGACATAAGAAAATTTAAAAACTTAATCTAAAGTTTTTCAATTAATTTCTCCATTGTATTACGAAATGTTTCTGTTGCATTGTTGATAGCATCTATTTTTTCTTTTTGGTGCTGTTCACGTCGATCATCTTTCTCTTTAGTATGCTGAATAAATTTGTCTGTCCACGAAGATAACTGTCGTTCGACCTTACTTTTCTTTACTTTATGTTGATTACTTTCTTTTATATCATCGTCATCCATTGACATATTTTGATCATTAGCTCTCATATTTGATGAAGTTGCAACAGGATTTACGTTTGGTTTATCTCCAAATAAATCATCCATTTCATCATAATACCGATAAGTTTTGGGTGCAGCACCTGTCATTTTATTATGATCTTTAACTCGTAAGTAATTTTTTTTCATGTTCGTCCATTTATCTTTTATCTGTTGCCTAGTAAAATTGTATCCTTTATCAGTCTTCATTTGCATTCTAATTTTATCCCAAACTACTTCATTTTTAATAGAAGTGCTTTTAAAAGCATCTTGATGATCTTTATATAATGTAAATAAGAGCTTCACAGATTTATCATCCCATGCTGAAAAATAAACAAATATTTAAATCTTATAGGACTGTGAAAAATAAAATAAATAATAAAGATTAAAGTAAATCAATAAAATTGAAAAAATGCCTCATTCGATCTAAGATTGATTTTACTGCTTAATATCTTATAATCAGTGTGAATATATATATATATATATATAAAACTTAAAACTGAAATTGAGCTATTAACTATCTTAAATAATATCATGTAATTGCTTGTCAATTTAATTTGTCATACTAATACCCCAATTTTAGTTTAGAATAGCGTTTCAAAAATGAAAATTACATTGGCTGTGTTCAGCGGACTCAACAATTGAGTGAGTGCTCGCTGTTATTGGTGTATTCTTTTAGATCATCCAATCAGTACATCAATAGTATTGATGTAGTAGTCAATACATCAATAATAGCGAGCGCTCCTTAATGGTAATATGCAAACATAGTCAATATTATCAATATTATCAACTATTATAATTACGTAAAATATATAAACACGCTTAAATCTGATTTTATGACAACTAACGTAATAAAATTAGATTTAAATATTTATATTATTTATAGTTAATAACTGTGAATGTTATTAAACTCGATTATTGATGACATATAAATGTACTCATTAAGTTAAGTAATAAGATCTAGCTCAGGTATTTTTGTATTTATTAATTGTGTTGTTCAAATATTGGTCTAGTATTACTTATTGACTAAAATAAATATTTCTTCCACCTACTTGCACACAATTTTGATGAATCGTTGCTACTGGAGTTACCATCATTATATAAACCTGAAATTAAAATAAATCTTGAACAATTGATATTTATATTCGTATATAAATATCATTTATTAAAAATTAACGCTATATATATATATATATATATATATGTGTGTGTGTGTATAGAGTTTCTTAATTTAATAACGTTTTATACTACAAGTTTAAATAAGTGTTATTTAAATAAGTATAATTTTAGATAATTTTTTAAGGAAATCTTGTAGCTCGCTAATAATGCACTTGTGAGACTTAAAAGTCATTAATGTCATTATATGCAATTGCTATTCGACACGGTGATTCACGATCTCTAAAAAAAACATTTAATTCGATGGAAAAAAAAATCCTGTAGATAATAAATGGTACAAGAAATTATGCAAATTACAAATTACTTTGATTCATTTTAATGGAAAATAACATTGCAATAAATATACCTGGAAACATTTGATAAAAAAAAAAAAAGATACAAAGCTCGATACGTTGATGCATTTAAGAATATTCGCAGTCGCGTGTAAAAGGAAAAATCGCAGATTGGCCTTTCGAAATAAAAAAAAAAAAAAGGAAAAAGAGAAAGAAAGAAAAAAGAGAAGATCGCGCATCACTGACGCGGCTCGTCGAACGAGCAGCACGCGTTACAAGCGTCTGCTTTTTAAAGCTCCTCCATCGTTGTAGCGTCATTATATGCTCCGATAAGTCCGGTAATGTCCTTTAATAAGTAGCTCGGCCAGCGAGATGCTGGAAAAGAGCAATTTGTATTTGACGGCTCGACATCGTGTAAACTGCGTTTATTAACAAAGTCAAAATTTTTATTCGCCCTCTATAAAT